ATTTGAGTTTTTCTCAGTTATTCTAGACTTTTTCTTTCAGGTAACGAAAATGTTTTAGTTTAGTTTTCATTTTAGTTTTTGTTAACGATTGTAACGACTTTTTAACGACTAATTTTATTCTTAGAAAATAGCACACAAGCCATATGAAATTATTTTTGTGAAGTTTTCTGGAGCTTGAGAGAGGAGGTCAACTGTCTTTGTATAGAAAAAAAAAATGTTTATGACTTTTTTCATTTTTTGTTGAATTGCCCCAACCCTCAGGTGCTCGTCCCGTTTTGACATGCCACATTGAATGAGTTAGCACGTTGCCCGCGGGGTTAGATGTGCGAAAGAAAAAGTGAAGGCCACAGCAGGGTCTGCCCATGCAGAGATGCCAAACAAACTAACAATGAATATGGATCAAGCCCTCACACACGCAAAGTAGTCTGGGACACTGATCCTGTTCAAATCCATTTATGTGGAGTCTGTCTAAATAGGACCTGAGAGCCAGCTTCTGCCTGCAGGGCCTCAGGGGCAACCCGGACCCCATCACCCCCTCCTTACCTGGCAAAACAAGTGACAGAACACAAGCAGAACAAGCCCGCGAGGAACCGAACCCCTCGTGTGCCATTGACAAGCACTGTCTTTATTCACCGGATAACACCTGCCAGCGGTTCACCTTAACACAGAACTAGCAGGCTGGAAACAGCACTTAAAATCAGAAGTCACACACAAGGTGTGGATGAGGTCAGAGTGACGGAATCAGACTCAATTGCTATTCACTTGTTTGGGAATGTTGCTTTTTTCGGGCTGCATCTGTCACACGGCACAACCGAATTCGAAATGTTGTCTTTGTTATTTGTAATATTTATACCAAAAAATACCCCTATAGACCATAGATTATGGAACAAGTATGCGAATAAGCTTCCATTTGATGCAGAGCTGGTTCATTTAATAGACCCTCGGGTTCCTTAAGTCAATCCAACCTCCTTCCCAGGTGTCAGTCATTCACAGGCCCGAGTGCTACTAGAAATCACATGTCTGTCCTAAGCGTGCGAGTCGACCGCCTCTCAGTTAACAGCAACACACAACGTCCGCCATCCATACTAAACCTTCCGGGCAACAACAAAGCAAATATTTGTCTCCCGGGCATTATCTACAAATGCACATATTTCCTCAGCTGTGTTCTGCGGAACGCCCGGCTCCCTCATCTGGCCCTGTTTGTGTGACAATACCTTCTGAAGAAACTCCTACATGTGCCTTGAAGTTTCCCCAGTCCCTGAATCACTGAATATTTTATAGCTTTAATGTCTTTTTTGCCTGTCAATCTGCCAGCTGTTCTCCTTTCTTTCGAATTTTTTTTTTCTGTCTGTGTGTAGTGTGGTATCAGATCACCTTTTCATGCTTCATAGGAATTCATTAGGCGTTGTGTAAATTAAGGCGACAACAGATTTAGGGGAGGAAAACAAGGACGTCTTCACCCCTCTGCTGCTATTTATCGTCTCAGCACCAATTCTCTCCAGCCTTGAAAAGGCTGTTCTGGCATGTTCCTCCACATCTCAACTGCAATTAACTGTAGGTCATGTACTTGTACATTATCTCTATTTGAGTCTCAGGGTTGATGTGTTGCTGTAAAAACTGGCCCAAATATAGAAGCGCGTATAGATTGTCATTGTGCACTGTGAACCTTTTTAAATCTTTCGTTTTGAATATATTATGATCTCATTTTCACATTTCAGTAATTATATAGTTTGTCCATGCTGTATATGGGTGGGTTTTTTTTTTTCTAACTTTGGGCACTTATTCATGTTCCAGGTGTATTTAATTAAAACTGACCGATATTACCTTTTCTTTTTGTTAAGATCACATTAAAACTTACTTGAATTGTTTTTGCAGTTATTTTATTTATTATTTCATTTTAATGCTTTTCACATTACTTTTATGTAGTCTTTTTATTATTTTATGCTTGTCCCAGAGTCATACTTTCAGTTTTTAAAAATCTATTATAACAATGTTAATTATGTTTATAAAACAGTTAGTCTACTTGGTTAGGAGACTATAGTTAAAATAGGAAATATATTAAATATAAGAAAACAAAGAAAAATCTATTTAAATATCCTTTTTTTTTTTTTTTGCAACATTTCCAGTCAAGCTGTATTTTTGGTAAATTGTGCAAAAATGATCATCAGGATACATGAAATGCTAGCCATGAAATTAGAGTTGAGAATTTTATTCAGAAATGTTTTACAAAAATTCACTTCTTCCACCATCATTTCCATCATATAAATGGTGGAAATGGCCATGTGGTGGGAAATTTTATGAATAAAAAGTGTATGTATGTACACTTTGCCTCTGTTGGAAGACAAATTGAATAAACTAAAGAGAGTGTGCCATAGGGACAAAATGGCCCATAGTTGAAGAAACACTCCTTAATATGATTTACACAAGTGGGAAATGTTCCTATATCTTTTATTGGTCCTGGAACAACATTGCTGTTGACCAATCATGAATCTCACATTTTAAAATTAGGTTTAAAGCTTGAAGCCATAACATGTCCTACTTGTGTAACTCACACTTTGCATATACAGTACATGCATACTGTAAACTCACTGTTTTGGCTGGTATTTGTCCTCTCTTTTTGCCTTTGCTGCCGGACAGTGAACAAGAAGTACCGTGGATCACCTGGTAAGATATCTTAGAAAGTTGCAACCCCACATAAGTGAAGAAAATTTGTTTTTATTTTGTTTTATCTTTGTATACATTAACTCAAATTTAAGTACATAAAAAAAAATTGGTATAGAAACAATTCACACTCAGAAATTGCTAGTAAATTTCACGACAACAAACTAAGCATGGAATTTTGAAGGAGGCTGCATTGTTTTTCTTGTAAAACATACTCAAATCTTTCATTTATTTAGTCCATGGTTCTCTGTTCTCCTGTATGAAGTGTTTTGGAGTTTACAGCTAGAATTCAATTAAAAGGCGTTTCTGCTCTGTGGACACCATCAGACTTTTGGCGTTCATGGGAAATAATTGATTTGCAAGCAGTTTAATGAATTCATAATGAATGTTGAGACTTGAGGCAGAGACAGATCGTGGTAGATTTTCATACTATACACATTTCATATTCAACACCCCTTAAAGGGAAATTTCGCTCAAAAATGAAAATTATATCATCATTTATCATTTAAATGATGACAGAATTTTCATTTTTGGGTGATCTATCCCTTTAGTGTGCCTTTGTGGACTTGGTTAGACAAAATAATTGCTATTGTAGTAATGCAGAGAATTACTTTGACTCAAACCCTTTATTCTATTCAAAGAACATATTCAGAAGCCCAGGAACAGACCTAATACAGTTATTTGAGTTTGAGCCTCAGCCGAGATAACAAGCACACACAGAAAAGGAGATAATGTAACCTAATATTCATAAACTAATATAATTTACATAGATAAAGGACGAAGTTGAGGAACCCAAAGCCCTTGAATATAGAAACTGATGTCTAGCTCGCTTGTCCAATGGAGATCATGAGGTAAAAAGAGGGAGTTGTGCTGTTTACCACATCCCTGATGAATTTAGTCAGATTATTGCCTCCCATGGCCACAGGTGAGGCAACTTATCCACTGAAGCAGAAGTAAGCAACCAGAGGATCCCCTGAAACACGCTTCGTGCCTCACATATGATCACACCACAGGATTTTCACTCTCGCTGCTCCAAAAACAAATATGAGTCTTCCAATAATATCTTAATGTATTGCAAAGGGTTGCCCCATCTGCAAATACAGAGGGAGGGAGGGAGGCCCATGCGCCCCACGCAATCTGTTTCGGTCTCGGCTGTTACCGACACAAAAGACCGCAGGAGATTTAGTTATAAGAAACACATTCCTATTTACACCGGATTCAAGATTTGGCTTAAATTAGCATTACATTTGCGATTTGTGAGAATTCGAGCATTTACTGATGTTTTCAGTGTTTCGTTTCACTAAAACATTTGGATCCGTCCACATGTTGTTTATATGGCATGGAGAAGTTTGTCTTCTGTCAAAAAATATTTCAAGCGTGCAATATTGTAATATTTGCTGGAATTGTAGCCCAAAGTACAAACATAAATCATAAAGCGAAATGCAATCTTTAGCAGTGACCTTTAATATTCTTTTTGTGAATATTAAAGGTCACTGACAATATTCAGATTAAAGCTCGGCCAATTTTTCAATTAAACTATTACATTTGGTTTTGAATATGTGGTTATGGCCACTGTACGGTCCTTGACATATTTAATAAGTCACATCAGATGCTATCTGTAATTGGAGCAGCCCGTCCCTTTTAGGACACCTATAGTAGCGCATGAAGTTCCCATTTTTGACAGAGTTCAGCAGCTCCTTCATGCATTTCGTCAAATTCGACATCAAAGGCTTGATTCTAGCATTCGACTTAGTTATTTAAATCCTCATTATCATAACATTTCGATATTTTAGATATTCTTCCTCTGGAAAGAATGAAGCTGATTTAATAGGCAGTATTTAATTTTTCACTTCTAGACGAGAGATGTGCTTGGGTCATTTTTAAAAATGTAAAAAGCATATTTTCATGCAAGAATGATTTCGCATAACAGCCGCACGAGGGGGTGGAGAGGAATCCCACCGTTTGGAGCATGTTACAGGACCACTGCCAAAAGATTAATTATTCAAAACATTCTGTGTCAGGCAAGCATAGAACATAAAGAGCCCAACTCTCTGGCTTTTGTCTTTTTCAGAGTTGTAATACCATAACACGTGTTGGCTGATTTAGTGCAGATCCCTCTTAATGTTTCCTATGTGAAAGCTGTTTAAAGCTGCCTAGCCTGGTGAAACTGTTAGGCTGGTTTGTTTTGATAGGTTTGTGGGGATTTGAGGTACTTTTGGGACCACCAAAACCAGCTTAATGGACTTGACCAGGCTAAAAGACCAGCATTTTGGAGTCAGATGTACTGTAGATCTAAAGGTCTCTTTTCTCCCTCTCCCATCACCTTTTCTCCTGTTTAGATTCAGAGGGCCCCGCGGACCCTGTGGCTCCAGTGATTGTAATCCCACCCCGAAACACTACAGTAGTGGCCGGGGTCAGTGAGGCCACACTGGAGTGTGTTGCTAATGCGCGGTGAGTATGGATATACTGTTCCCAGCAGGAGTACAGTTCATTTGATATTCATTTACTCTGACAGGTTCACAGCCATCAATATTCACTCTGTCTTACTCCATTTAACCTTCATTTCAAAGCCATTATTATAATAGTTGCTAAAGTAACACTTACAGTGCATTGACCATATGTTTTCCTAGAAAAAAAATTGATAAAAACAGGATATTTAAAGAATTTGAAGTTTGCAAGATTTTTATGTTGTTTTTAAAAGAAGTCTCTTATGATCACCAAGGCTGCATTTATCAAAAATACAGTAAAAAACTGTAATATTGTGAAATATTATTACCATTTAAAATATAAGTTTTCTATTTTAATATATTTTAAAAATCAGTCAAATATGCTGATTTGCTGCTCAGTTATTATTATCAATTTTGAAAACAGTGTTGTGCTGCTTAATATTTCTGTGGAAATCGATTCTTTTCTTTCAGGAGCTCAAAAAGAACACCATTTATTTGAAATAGAAATCTTTTGTAATATTATAAATGTCTTTGTTGAAACTTTTGATCAATTTAATGCATCCTTGCTGAATAAAAGGATGACTTTCTTTTAAAAAATCTTACTGACTTTGAACAGTAGTGTATGCCAGAGAGAATTCTTCTACTACCGCTTCTAAATTATTGTCACAATTGACCCTTCGCCGGGAGTTTGATTGACAGGCGATTTGACCAATCATAACGCTGAATCCGCCATTTTGTCCGACAAGCAAATCAGACAGGAGATTTGAACTTGAAAGATTGTGTGTATTGACGTCTTTCCGCGGTTGAAACAAGATACCTTCTGATGTGCATTCATGTTTATTTTGTGCTTTTCGTGAACTGAGGCAATACAACGATCTGTCATGACACATTAAAGAGCCACAAAACAGTATTTATTGTTTGAATTTGTTAAAAAAAGACAAAATTTGAAAGCTGAGACTTTGTTTCCCCTGTTGAAAATATCCAGCGTATGCTGTTTAGGTATGTTTTGAAGCATAGCAGCTGGTTTGAGCTGGTTTAAGCTGGTCCTGAGCTGGTTATAAACTGATCATGAGCTAGTTTAAGCTGGTCATGTGCAGGTCCTAAGCAACTAGCTCCTGCTGAGGACCAGCTCATAACCAGCTTATAACCAGCTCAAACCAGCTTCCATGCTGCAAAACATACCTAAACAGCATATGCAGTTTTTTTTAAAACAAGGTCATACCAGAAGTAACTTGCTTGTTACTTCTGGTATGTCAGCGCATTTTCAGATTCCTCTTTGCTCCGCGATGTATTTTTCACTACGTGACAACATGGTGTGTAGTGTGAGAGTGGCATGACTTGTCGGACATAGCAACAGTAACTAAGGGGCATGGGTCTTTGCAAAGGGTCAATTTTGACAAAAACTTACATACAGTATGTTACCTAACCCTAACTGGTTAACGTCACCTTGATGGGATTTTTAAATCAGAAGAATTAGCAGCAACAAAGTTCAAATCACACCGTATTTCTGCCCTGTTGTTTTCCACAGTCCGGTTGAGAAGCTCAGTTTGGTGTGGCGGAGAAACACCGTGGAAGTGGCCAGCGGCGTGGGCTCCTTCGGCCGGCGCTTGACCATCATCAACCCAACGAGTGCCGATGTGGGCATGTACGTGTGCGAAGCCTCACTTTTGGACAGAAGCGTGAAGCCGGCGGAGGCCAGAGCCTTCCTCTCCATCACAGGTGAAACACCTCGTCCAATAAAAGCTCCATTTCTTCCCTCCAGCACAATGCTTTCACAGCCGCACGTCTGCAGAGAAAATCCACCGTCTTAATGGTTCCACTCAGTGGGAAGTGATGAACAGCAAAGCCCTCTGATAGATATAGCACTACATTACTGCGCATAAAACCTGAAATTACACACTGTATTAGCTGAGCTAAGAGCTTTTAGGAGAGCCTCAGGCATTACAGCTATCGGTCACAGCGCACTATGAGAATATCACCAGGTAATTCTACACATTAGGATCATCCTGATCCTCTACACACCGCTGAAGTGCCATCAGACCTATTTCCAAGTCATTTGATTTACTTAATAACAGAAAGTGCACATAATTTGTAGTCTTTTGAAATAGCAGCGTGTAAGGAGATAAATGTTGGTGTTATCATATCTTTAGGACAGCATAGTAAAATGGAAGGATCTGCAAACATATTTTCTGTTAAATGAACACGGTGTTAAATTAGGAGAATAGATTGGTGCCTTAAAGGATTACTCCACCCTCCAAGAGCTCTCAGAATGCATCAAAAATATCTTCATTTGTGTCTGAAGATGAACGGAGGTCTTACGGGTCTGGAACGACATGAGAGTAAATAATGACAACATTTTCAGTTTGGGGTGGAGTAACCCTTTAAGGAGCCATTTCAACCTCTACGAAAATTACTTTACCTAATGTAGTCATATTTAATTATGTTTATTTTAAATAATAATAATTATTATTATTATTATTATTATCTTTCCCTTAATAATATTCTATTGTACAGGAATAATTGTACAAAACATTAAAGAACAGATTTATAAGAACAGAAAATCATTATTTAATACCATTAATAATAATCTCTTATGTGTATAATAATAATATATAAATATAATGTTATAATAATAATAATAATAATAATGTGCACATACATTTTTCATTATATTTTAAAGTTACTATAATATATAATTATAAAACGGTTATTATAGTGATTTTTATAAGAATACAATTAATCAATTAAATAATAAACCAAAAATAAAAATAAACAAATAATAAATTACACACACACACACACACACACACACGGTACAATAATAGTATGCACAAAACATTAAAGAACAGATTTATAAGAACAATAATCTCTCATGTGTCTTTGATTATAATATTAGTAATAATAACAACAATAATATTTATAGAAATTATTAATATTATTGTTGTTATTATAACATTGTTTATATATATATATATATATATATACAATATAATATAATATAAAATAATTTAATTTAATAATACATTGATGTTTTTAATAATATAATTGTCATATCATATTTTTTGAAACAATTTTGATATTACCACACAAAGCTCATTATTTAGGTTAACTGACAAATAATTCTTAATAATGTCATTTAACCGCAAGTGTAAGACCTAAAAATGTTTTTTATTTGTATTTTTTTTACTGTAGCACCATGTGCCATGCCAAAATTGAATTCATTGCCCAAATTTGTCTTCGTCTCTTAGCGAGAGACAGCAACATAAAACATGATTCTCAATTTCTCAATTATCTGTTCTTAAATGATTTATCTTTAATGTTTATCTCTGATTTATGTTAGTGTCAGGCTACATTCAACAGTTTTTCCTGTCTTTCCTGTGCATATATTTAACACATACTGAGTACTTACAGTTTGTCCACCTCTTCTCTGTACAGTTATATATGGAAACCCATTGAGCTAAACAGCATATTAAATATTTATGCCTTCTCTTCACTTCACATCGGCGTCCATGTGAGAGCCAAGCTGACAGGTGTTCTGAGCTCCATGTGAAGTCCAATACATATGTATAGACAGACGGATCCGTAACAGGAGGAATATATTGCACTGGGCAAGAGTGCATGTGAATTGATGAATGTGGGCTGTCAGTGTGGCGCTGCACACAAGTCAGAAGCTTAGTGATGGTTTGGGTGTCTGAATTATATTCAAGATCTCTAAGTATGCATTTATTCATCTGCTTATTTGGGTAAAAGATGCACTTCAGAGTTTTGATGGTCTGCGAGTTTTTCTCAGAAAACACACATCACAGTTCTGTCTCTCAAGCGTAAATCTCTACAATAATGTCTCTTTTGAGCTGTACATCATACGAGATTAATTTCTTGTAAAACTATTAAAGAGATCTATGAAATAGCTCATAGAAAATAAATCTATGAATGTGCTTTCTCGTCCCGATTTTCATGATTAAAGCTCCTAAATAACTGATTAAAGGAATAATTTGCCCAAAAATGAACATTTTATTAACCCTCATGTCAGTTCAAATCAATGTTGTGTCATTTAATTTTCACTGAATAACGAGTGTGTAATATCGGTACCACTCCCCTCATCTGTCATTGGACGTGCAAACATATAGCCCCTCCCCAAACTCATGCCATTGGTTGAGTGAGTGTTGCTGTCGTCAGGCACATTAGGATGCTCAAGCAAACAAAACAATGTTTTTAGCGTGATAGAGTGTTTATACTTTTAGGGGAAATCAAACTGAATTGTTTACTTACAAGGTAAGACACTACAGGTGATTAGGGTAAAAATTCATTTGCTTCACAGGACATTAAGACAGTTGTTTTGCATCGCAAGTTTTCTGAAATTTTATGTTTAAATAAGCAAATTAGGAATTAACCAGTTAAATATGCACTAATTTGCATACATTTCCAGAATAGAAATCTAGACATTGGATAAAGCCAGTTTCAAAATTCTTGTTTCATTTTGTTGACATATTTACAGTTTTTACAGAGGGGATTTTGGATATTTCTTTTAGATCACTCCATAAATCAGAAAATACTGTCTACAGCCAGAAAACAAATACATTTCCACCATGTTTTTAGGAATACAATGTTATATGTGACCCTGGAGCACAAAACCAGTCTTCAAAATTATCGTTTTTTTCTTTTATGCCAAAAATCATTAGGATATTAAGATAAGATCATGTTCCATGAAGATATTTTGTACATTTCCTACCGTAAATATATCAAAACTTAATTTTTGATTAGTAATATGCATTGCTAAGAACTTCATTTGGACAACTTTAAAGGCGATTTTCTCAATATTTAGATTTTTTTGCACCCTCAGATTCCTGATTTTCAAATAGTTGTATCTCAGCCAAATATTGTCCTGTCCTAACAATCGATGGAAAGCTTATTTATTCAGCTTTCAGATGATGTTTCGAAAAATTGACCCTTATGACTGGTTTTGTGGTCCAGGGTCACATATAAACCATGTGAATGTTATATGAACAAACCCTTCTGTAAAATCCTTCAGAATATAAATAGGAATAAAACTGTAATTGCTATAGTCAAGTGGATATTTTTGGCTCAGTGCAGAAAAAAAACCCCACTCATTTTGAGAAAACTTTTTAAAGACTTGTAATAGCCTCTGTGCACAAGCGTAGCGGCGAACTTCCGCTGTCGCCAGAAGTCGGGATATCAGTTTCCGGTTTTCATTGTCTCGCAAAATGTCAGTATTTTCTAGATGTCTCCGAGATCTACAAGTAAGAATCAGCGATGTCCATCGTATCGTTAATGCCCGGTTCCCTGCTCCAATACGCAAGCGAAACAAGGAATTCAAACGCAATATATCGAGTTATATGCACAAATAGTTTAATCTAATGTGTTATTTCGGCATCTAGCGGCTAAGCTAGTTAGCGACATGCTCATTTTAGAAGCTTGTCTTTCTCAATTTTAAACACAGACTGTTCGTTTTTTTTAATTTTTTATAATTGTATTATCACTTGTATTAAACATCTCCCCCTCTCAGTTTTTTATAAAGATCAGGGCACAGGTGAAGTCATT